ATGCACAAATTAAAAACAAGATTATTACAGATCCCCCCGCTTCCCCCAGCTTCCATTGATAGCTTTAAGTACTCCTTGTATCCTCGCACCATCTGGACGTGGAACCACCTATCAGCTGCTGCAGTAACATCTCCAACAGTGACCATCTTCCAGGAGGCTGCTCTACCTATCATCAGAGCGTTGCCTCCTCCTGTTGGGTCCAAGCTACTGTAGACTCCACGTCTCGGTTTTTACTTGCACGTCCACCGTTTTATTGTAAATAATAGACATCATTCACTGTTTTGAATTACTTCATGCACTGTCACTATGCCAGCACGTTGCACGGACATCCCAGTTTAGCTGTATGATAGCTGCCATCGGGATTATCTCTACAAGTAACAAGTAAGATCGATTGGTCTGCCATTTATAAAAAATTGTGATGCAAATGCTAGTTATGATTACTTTGCAAAGGAATTTACCACTTTGTATAATGATTGTTTCCCTTTAGTAAATAAAAACAAAACTAAGTATAAACTCCGTAAACCATGGATTACAAACGGTATATTTAATTCTGTAAAAAAGAAGAATCGTCTTTATAAGGCTTATCTACACAAACCAAATCAGAATTCCTTAATGAAATATACTGTGTTTAAAAATAAACTAATATCTGTTATAAGAAGTACTAAAAACAATATTTGTATGATATCTTTCAGAAATGTAAAGGAAATATAAAAAAGACCTGGAATTAAATTAATAGTATACTTGGTAGTAAGAAGCAAAATGTTATACCATGTGAAATGTTCTCTGGTAAAAATAAGTATTCTTCGCGTGAACAGATTGTTGAGGAATTCAATTCATATTTTGCCAGTATAGGTAAAAAAAAGTATCAAATTCGATTCCATGTTTACATAAGAATTATGAAAAATATCTCAGTTCACAACATATTGCCTCCATATGTTTAAAGCCACTACCGTTTATGAATTAACAAAGATTTTGGCTTCGTTTAATCCATCTAAAGCAAGTGGTTGTGATGACATATCCCCTCGGGAAGTGAAAGGAGCAATCTTTTGTTGTGTGGAACCATTGTATGACATATTCAAAAAATCATTAACCACTGGTGTGTTTCCAGATGCTTTAAAAATAGCAAAAGTAGTGCCGTTATATAAGAAAAACTGTAAAAAAAAAATATATAGATAATTATAGACCGCTTGCAATTTTACCTATATTTTCCAAATTGTTGGAGAGAATAATGTATAATAGATTGTATAGTTTTCTTACCAAATATGAGATATTAATTAATGAACAATTTGGATTTAAGAAAGGTCATTCGACCGCTCATGGTGTCTTGAATATGTCAGATTATGTAATAAATGCATTAGATAATGGTAATTTTTGTTTAGGGCTATTTATGGATCTTTGAAAAGCATTCGACACCATCGACCATGACATTCTTCTTGATAAATTGTTTTATTATGGCGTAAGAGGAGTAGCCTTAAACTGGTTCAGATCATATTTGATGGGTAGAAAGCAATATGTGGTGGTCGATGGTCTCGAGTCTAACTTCAAAGAACTATCATGTGGGGTACCGCAAGGGTCTGTACTGGGACCTCTCCTGTTCTTGCTGTATGTTAATGATGTTGTCAACAGTTCTAGTATCTTTCGGTTTTCATTATTCGCAGATGACACCGTAGTTGTCATATCCCATAGAAATGCACACAGACTGATTGCGCTGATTCTTAATGAAGAATTAAGTAAATTGCTTGTATGGTTTCAGAGTAATAAATTACTTCTCAATCAAGAGAAAACAAACTACATCATATTTCGTTCAAGGAACAGGAGAGTTCCCGGAGACATTAATGACATTTCTGTTAACAAAATAGTCCTTCAACGTGTACATTCACTATCCTTTATTGGTGTTACTATAGACGAGTTCCTGGACTGGAAGACCCACATTAAAAATGTAACTTTGTAACTTAGCAGAATGAAGGTTCTTCCTGTCCAAGAACTAATATCACTTAATACTTGTATATTTATGTATTATTTCCACACTGGTAATCTTCCACACATTTTTCAAAACATGTTTATTAGTAATTCATCCGTTCATTCACATAACACAAGGCAAAACATGTTATTGCACAAACCCCCATGTACGTACAACCCATGCACTGAAATCATTTAGAAATGTGGGAATAAGCAAATGGAATGATTTAAACGAGGATATAAGATCAAGTTCAACTTTGTCTAGGTTTAAAGTTTTGTGCAAAAGGGAACTATTTATTAATTTGTAAAACTGGATAGGACTATAAGTTTTGATCTCATATTTCGCATTTTTCATGTGTTTCCTCTTCTTCCTTCTTCTTTTAAAAAGTCTACTCTCTTCTTCTCTCTCTTTCTCTCTCTCTTATGATATGCTTTAAAGTACATTGCATTGCGCGCGTGTGTGTGTGTGTGTGTGTGTTTGTGTGAGTATGGCTGTGTGTGTTTGCAAGATATTTGTAATTGTTTTGTAATAAGTATGATTATACATGTATCTCTTTTTTCGTTTTGCTTGTTATAGCATGCTTGTATCATATTTGTATTTAATTCTATGTTAATTGGCCCCATTTACAAGCTCTGCTTCTCAGGGGTCCATAGCCTGTCATCATGTTATAATTATTATTCGAGTACCAGTGTCATTGTAAATTGTTTTTAATGATTGGCTGAATAAATTGAAATTGAAATTGAATATCTCTGTGTAAAATGTGAAGCTTTTATTTTTAATACAGTAAAAAGCCACGTGAAACCTCTAACATAGAGCAAAATAATTATGCTTTAGTGATTGAAGGAATTGAAAAACACAATCAATACCGTGAGTAAACCATGAAAAGCTAGCTAAGCCTCCATTATTTATCAACAGGGTTAGCACGTTTAGGTTTAAATGGTTAGCAAGCTTGGATACATTTTGATTTAATTTGTATTGCTTTGGAGGGAGTAGATTCTTTATTGTTGTATTTCAGAAATATGAAAACTTCAATACATTTCTATAGTTTCTCTTTATTTTTTTTCTTTTCGTAGCATAACCGTACGTTTAGCACTGACAGTATCTTAGGCCCCAAAAATACATATTTAGCGTCCTTCCTTTTTGATTAATAGAAAGGAGATCAATAGGAAGGAGGAGGGCCTTTTATCCGAAATGGCCGCTCGGCAAAAAAAAGACGCCGGCCGAGCGGCCTCCAAAAATCGTCATATCGAAGAAGAGTACGATTATTTATCAATGTGTTTTTTTAATAATACAGTTAATCACTTTTACATCTACCCATTCGTAATGTTAACAAATCCTCAGACCTCCCAAATTATCTGGCTTATCGCAATTCAAAACTCATAAATACAGGAATTTGTCCTTGTTTTATTATCCATTTTAATACCGAATGATTGTAAAGAAATTGTATGAATAATGAAAATGTTATTAAATGGTAACATTTTCAGAAAAAAATGAAATTATACATTTAGTTGCAACTGTAGTACACAAGGAGTACTAAACTCAGTGCATGTGACAAAATGCAAAACGTGTTTGTGTGTGTTTTGGCAGATGATAAGCAATATTTACAGCTTAAAACTAATACAAATATGATGTAAACATACACAAAACTTACAAATATAACGATTAAAAACTAAATTGTGATTGGTAAGTTCTACTAAAGAAATATATATAGGCCTACAAGTGAAATAAACATTTAATCTAAGAAACTACTGCAAAGGAATCAATTAAATTATGAATACAAGAAAGCGAATTTATTGTTGCATCGTTTGGCAATGAACAGAATCCTAAAGTATGTAAATTTATAGTAGTGATCCTTGAATAACATGTCAGATATACGAACCATACACATGCAGGTCGTTGTTTAATGATATTTGAATACATTCTGAATACATATATTGTTCATAATATACAGATCTTATCAAAACTGCATTGTGAATTATCAAAATTTAGTACAGATCAATACATTAGTTCAAGTAAGATTTATCGTAACTAAACAGTACAGGCTTTCAGCACCTTATGCGACTATGTACAGTCCGCAACATTTCTGAAACATCATCATACATTTAGTCGTGGGTGATTTCCAAGTCTAGCATTGCAAAAGGAAGTTGAATAAAGCCAATCTGAGATTAGTAGAGAAATCGGCCCTGCATGAAAGATTTTGTCTTCACTCTCGTCTAGGGCCACAGTGGAACCATACTCTACTGTATACACAATCATGACAATGCAGGCTTCAGTCCGGGACATCGAATGTTGACTGGCTAGGGTAAAGGTTCTTGGGTCTACAAGGTCGTAGACTATTCATAATAAAGGCTATCGAGAACCAAGACTCAAGTCTCACGAGCTACCAAATAACCAGTTGGAGTTTTAAGACATTATTTTGGAGGGGAGCTCAACACCCTACCCCCCCCCCCCCCTCCAACAAAAAAAGTCGGTTATAAGAGCCTCGATTTTGGTCTCGAGGGTAAATCTTTTGACGAGTCAGAATTAATTTTCATGTGACCGTATATAGCTTCACCCATCTTCGGTTTACTGGACCTTCGGTTACAGATCCGTGGTTAGCAATTAGGTCCAAAGCAGTCCAAAGCAGAGAAATCTATAGAATTGGACAGACAAAATCCGTCTGATTGAAAGAATCTTTTAAACATGTTTTGACGTGCTCCTCCAAGGAGGCGGATTCGGTTAAAGGTAAAGACCAGTTCTGGTCATGCGATTGCATTGTGAAAGAAACGTTGTGGAATCGATCAGAAAAGGTTCATCATCTAGCATATAAGTATTGGTGTGTACTGCAAGGTTCTGGAATCATCAAACTGATAAGAAATTTGGCCAAGTCTTGGTAAAGTTACAAGCAGTGTACACAGAAAGATGTATATGGGACTACGCGACACCGGTCCGGATAGATATAATCATTTACCAAATATATCAATTAGTAGGCGGTTTCCCAGCAAAATTTGTATTATCACGTATTAATCAAAACATATTCTTTCACATGATTGGTAATAATTTGAGCTTCCATTTCATTTTTGAGAGGTGGCGTTTCCAAAAACTAGTCTATACCTTTAAGTCATAGGTAGTTTCAGCAGAACATCATCCCGGAACGAAATATACTTATGTTTTATACTCTCTACAGACCCTGACAGAATGAGCAAACTCAAATCTTCTTTTTACAAACATTCTATCCTATACCGCTTCTGTTGGGTACTGCGAACGGGGCAGAACGAAAGTTTCCTCAGTCTTTAAATTTGTCTGAAAAAGAAAAACCAGTATCAAAAGTTATGAATAATTCATAATAGCCTAATACTACTATACTACTACTGGTGATAATAGAAATTGAGAAAGTAAGGGAGAAGAGAAGGAGGGATGAAGCTATGGTCTAAGGTAAAATCTGGCTTATTCCGATCCCATCGTACCATGATTAATTACATTCAAATATCCAATTACATCGAATTCATAATTTACATGTCACTTTATTAAACAGTGATAGAAAAGTCATTCAGTTTGACATAGGAAAAGGGAAAACATTTCACGAAATAGATCTTTATCTTCTCTTTTGTTTTTGTCATTCTATTTTCCCAAACACTGTCAAAAATTACCTCTGGATCCCTGTAGAATAAAGTCAGCATCAGTGACCCGCTTTGTTTGCTCTGATTGGGGCCTTGCTTATTTTCCTTTGGCTGGTCTCGTTCGGTGGCGAAACGAGTAAGCTCTCCTTCAGAATCCAAACTACAATCAATCCTAATAAGAATAGAAATAGAAGAAAGGAAAATAAGGACAGAAAGGATTATGTTCTATAAGTTACACAAAGTATAAATCGAATCTTATACGATATCGACATCGTTGCTTAAATACTTTCTGAGTAACATGACTGAGGACGGACATTTTCTTAAGTGAAAGTTTTAAACAGACGAAAAATACATTTTACCTCGCTTACGTCAAAATGTAATGGAAATGGAAATCCTGATAATGAACTCGTTTTGATTAGGTTCAAACCATTTATGATTACGTCCATTCATAATGTAGGCATATACTGTAGTAAATCAACCAAAGCTAAAGGGATATGTACGCATAATCTTAAAATTTGATTATATTTGAAAATCCTATTTTACATATATGAGAAAATATCAATCCAATAAGATATAAAATTCTGTACAAATATGGGTATTGACTGTGAATACCCTATTATAAACTCACCTCAAAAGCATAATAGACGTAAATTCTCTGATGGCTGTGATGATTTCTATCAAGTCTGACTCTTTAAACACACAGTAGTTAAAACTAATGATTTCGAGTTGTCGCATCATGCCACCCGTCTTCAACATTCGGATAAAGTTTTCAACAGTGTCACGTGACACAGACTTGCTGTCTTCCCTTCTCGGGTCAAAGAAGGTCATATTGAGAACTTCCAATTGGACACCATTCTTCACCACTCCGTCAATGATGGCCGAAATGACCTTATCGTAGTAGGTATCCTCTGCTATCTCACTGTCATAATTGTTCATGGCAACTACGTAAAGTTCTGAAATATTTGGTAACCGGGAAAGCAGTAAAGGAAATATTTCCACATGAGATTCGAGTTTTGTCTGAAAGGTCTGCACGGATCGGAGGGGCTCTAGATGTAACGCAGGAAATGTCTCAGGAACATACATTCGTAAATGACGCAGCTCACGGAGATTATGGAGGGCATTCAAAAAGTAGCCAAAGAACTTATGTGCGCCTTTGGCGTCCACCTGTGGATATCCAAGTATCTAAATGATATTGAAAAGTGAACAATAGAGCATGTTGATACGGAGGTATCGGACTCAATTCGTTGACAAGTAATGTTCGCCAAGAAGCTTAGTTCCTAACATAGACAATATATGGTCAGTTTTCGTTGTTGTAATTTGCCGGAACATGCTCTAAAAAGGGAATTTTCACGACAATTAGACTCGTATGAATGGGGAGGTGTCGACCCAACCCTATTATTATCGATCGATATCCCTGAATATGGATGCCTATTCTAAGAGAGCTTATATCATGTATAATTTATTTCCATATGCGGTTCGCTTCTGGAAAGGAGTTTCGAAGACGAGGGCAAAAATGATGCCTCTGGTTAGGAAGTAGCGTGTTTAGGGCAAATACGTTAAACAAAATGTATGACAGTGTTTAATGACCACTTTTCCTAGAATAGAGAAATGCATGCCATAGTAAATAACTGTCTCTAAAACATAAAATTCAATTCAATAAAAGAATATAAAGACACAAACACTAACAAACAATTACCATGATGTGGCAGGAAATAAAATAATATACCAGTATTTTAGGCTGAACCCTTTACACAAGAAGCAAACACAATACATTATACTGACATTGAAATTCAAAGTTGAAGAGTACGACATAAAAATTTGTTAAACGTGGTATGCGTTCTTTAAATGTAAGCCTACTTACATCAGAGTTTAAAAGAAGCTTTTGTAAATTTGGCAGGTTGATCAAGACGAAGGGGAGGTTAATGGAAGATGACATTGTTTCCAAAATCTGGACCGATCGAAGTGGCTCTAAGTCACACATGATATGGCACGTCGGTATTGGAAGAAAAAGCTCGTTGAGGTCTGGTGAGGTATGGAGGTTTTTCCACAGCTCACAGAAGGCTTCAGCGTTGTTGTCCAGTTCAACAAGTTCCTGTGAAACAAACCAACAACAAACAAGTAACAGGGACTAGGTTGACAGATAAGTTTTGAACTTATTGTTATACACGTAAAATTTGACCCGAGTCCACTTGGTCCAAGGAATAATAAGCCCTAAATCTAACCCTCAATAGGCCTTCGTATATCACCAGATTCAAAATGATAATATCAATAGTATTAAAAGTAGTAATAGTGATAGTATTAAGAACAATAATGATAACGATAATGATAATGGTGTTGATGATGATAATAATAAACAAAAATACATACTATTACTAATATTATGACTTCTATTACTACTACTGCTACTACTACTACCACTACTACTACTACTACTACTACTACAACTAATGATAATAATAATAACAATAATAATAATAATAATAATAGTAATAATAATAATAAAAATAAAAATAAGAAGAACAATGATAATACTGACTCAACAAATAACAATGAAGAAAATAATGATAATGATTATTATGATAATAATAATGATAATAATACTAATACATTTTGTTGTATTTGTTATTATTTTTATTATTATTATTATTATTATTATTATTATTATTATTATTATTATCATCAGTGGTAATGATACTAATAATCAGGTACATTAATGAATACATCTTTTTAAAAAGTATACAGGGTTTATGTAACGCTTACAACATGAATGATAAGCAATATAAAGTATAGAGACAACAGGGATCTACACTGTTGGTCATAATGGTGGAATAATTATTTTTACCCCAATTCATTGAATGATTTTGACAATGATTTATTCCTAATAGATCTAGATAAATAGTATACATTCTCAGATTTTATTGAATCACAATTTGGGAGTGTTTGTTTTTGCGTGACTGCTAAAGCATTTGTGTGCTACTATGCTAATCAACTAGGGGACCTACGTCCTTAAGTCATAACTGACAATAACGGGGATTAGTGCGTCATAAAAGGGCACTAATATAGCACATCGACACGGTTTTGATCCTGGGGGCTCACAGTAACGAGGCCATTGCTTAGCCAATAATAATAATAATAATAATAGTGAACATTTATAATGCGCCATGTCTGTCAAAAATGACACTCCTGGCGCAGTTGTGTGGAAGTTGTATAATTGTCGGCAAGTAATTCAAGAAAGAAAGTAAAATACATATCAGTTACAGTATAGTATTAATGACTGCTTTGAGAGAAATAGTTGTTTTTATACGCTCTCGGGAAGGTTACAATTGGGCTATTGCCCCGAGGCGTGCCGAGGGCAATAGCCCAATTGTAACCTTCCCGAGAGCGTATAAAAACAACTATTTCTCGAATATTAAAGCAGTCATTAATACTTTTATATGCCGAAAACAAAAGAGTCAACTAATGACACCACCTTGGCCTTTCTCTAGTTTATCTGCACGGTTGTTTTTTTTATGAGTGTATCTTTGAGAGTAGACTAGATCTAGATTCTAGTCTAAGCAAGATATTTTTACAATTTTGGGGGTGGGCCGGCCCTGTGGGGAATAGAGAGAAGAACCTGCGCTTTCATATGACACCTCACTTATTGAGTATCACCTTCAGGATCACAACAGATAAAGGTTTGAATCTTGAATTGAAAAAAAAACTTGACTTTGTTTGCATGGTCGCGCAATGCACGTACACCGCATAGAGACTGCATTGCGTGTAATCTCTATGGGAAGAATATAGCACACAACATCGGGTGCGCGATCAGACACCCTGACAACAAGATCTATTTTCGTCTACGTCTATGCTGGTACTCCATTTTCAGCAACTAAACGAACATGTTTATGGATAATTTCACGTACCTTTTTTGTTGTTCTTAGTTATTGTTAGTTATTGTTAGTTAAGACTTAATGACGTAAGTCCTCTAGTTGATTAGCATTGTATCACTCACGTGCTTTAGCAGTCACGCAAAACAAACACTCCCCAATTGTCATTCAATAACATCTGAGAATGTATACTATTATCTAGATCTATTAGGAATAAATCATTGTCAAAATGATTCAATAAATTGGGATAAAAATAATTATTCCACCATTATGACCAACAGTGTATGATGCTATGAAAGATCCAAGATATTTTGATGCAAGTTTTAACAACAATAGGAAGCAAAAAGATTATTATATGTTCAGCCCCATTCCATCCCTCCTACCCCCACTAACATAATTCATTGTGAGCAGAGCTATTTAAACCGTGACTTACTATATCTTGAATAATCAGCTCCCTAACCCTTGGTAGGAAGGTTAAAACATGTGCGAGGCTGCTCATTGATATCACGTGGTAAGTCTCAAAAACACGGATCGACGTGAGGTGCTTCAGATTAAACCCGATGTCGGCAGGGATGGGGAGAAATAGGCTACTGAGAAAGGGTGAAGTATTCATGGCGTTCCATAGTCTCACAAATAAGTCCGCAGAATCGTTCGCATCATAGATGCCAATGGATGTGATCTACAACGCATAACAATCGTAACAGTGAAAATTGTATTCATAAGTTTCCTTGAGCGCGTTGAGTAAAATGGAAACCAGACCGGATTTTCCTAATGGTTGGAATTTGTTTTCAAAGAATTTCTATGTACTACTGGAAACAATAAGTTGCCGAATGTGCAGAAATACAGTGTCATTTCTTGAACAAAAAAGGGCAGTTGTTATCTAAGTTAAAGTTTCATTGTGTCTTCTGAATAGAACACTTCCAATCCCCCCCCCCCAAGAAAAAACGATTATTATTCTTCCAGGTATAAATATAGCAATATAATATATAGCAATGCCAAACACGACATTATTCGTAGAAATATAATTTTCTATTATTTTGTTTATAAAAGATATAACAGTTCTTATGAGAGCGTTCAAATATTGATACTACCGCATACTAATCATAGGGGTATTGAATAGTTTCCTCAGACATTATAATATTTGATGATGTTTTTATAAGAGTAAGGAGTATTTATTTCATTCACTTTAGAAGGGTGGACAATGCCGGCCATGCTAGACTATGACAAACTATTGATTCGCACCCATTCTTTTCTGTCCCTTCACTCTTCCCCTGCTCCCCTATCTCTCTCTCACTTTATCTCCTCGTCTTATACCTTCTTTCCCTCTCCTCCCATTCCCCCCTCTACTTGCGTATATATCCTTCCCCTATTCTCCTTCTCTATGCTATTACCATTTCCTTAACAGATCCTGATAGTTTCTCGAATCCAGCCACTGTTGATGCTGTAACTTGTCGCAGTCCAAGATGTCCGTCTTTAAAAACACGTGTCAAATGCATTTCAGAATCCTCTGCACAAGTTCCTGCCTCGCCGATGAAATTTAAGATGACGGGATGGTATAGTTCAGCCCTGTTGGAGATACTAAACCTGGAAGCTTGTTCAATGCTGAGAGATGCCAAAATCTTTCGGCAAGCCAAAACCGATGTCCCTGATGCAAATTGAAAGATCTCTTTTAGGTTATAGATTATCTTTGAAATGCCAGTGGTGCTGATTCTTCCTTCATCGATGCCAAGTGCCAGATATCTTCCTGCTGAATATTCCTGCGCTAACTTGTGGAAGAATTCAATGTGGATGAGGGTGTCACTATCCGTCTTCATGTTCTTTGTTAACAGACCAAGCGAGTAGCTGATGTTTAATATATCATCATGAACTTCACTAAAATCGTCTTCACTTAACACCAATGGACTCAGATCATTCTTGTTGCTCAATTTTCTTAAGGCAACTTTCCCGACTGAAACAACTGTGTCGTTGAGCAGGTCTCGCTTAATCTCTCGCTTATACTTAGCATTCATGTGTGTCCTCAAAAACTCCATGATATCATGAAATAATTTTGTTCGGGTGAAGTTTCCATGAATATAGCCATCATTCCACAAATAACACACCATAGTGCAAAAAAGGGGCGTGGCGATCATTTCGTTAATAACAATGTCTTCTCTCAAATATTTCTTCAGTTCTGTTCCTTTTGTTTCATTAGAAAAAAAGAATTTGTCGATGAAATCTGTGGCATGCTGTTGAGAATATCCTTCTATTAACATCTTGGAGTATTTTACATTTCTCGAATTGAAGTCTTCTTCCCTTACGGGGCGAGACGTTACCAAGACCCGACATCGCCTACATCTCTCCTGACACAATATATCAATGACGCTACCTACGTTTTTCCCGCAATGAAGCTCTCCACTGAATTCATCATAACCGTCGAACAGCATGACAATATCCTTCTCATGGGAATCGATATATTCTTCGAGCTGTTTTTGATACTTTTTGTATTTCTTCCCCAGCAACGGAACAATGGCTTCGGTTATTACTGTCTTGGCATTCAGGTTTCTCATCTTGAAGACAAAGAGCAACTTCACATTCTTTAAAGGGGAGTCTTCTTTTTTATTGGCCCAATCATAAGTTAATTTCGCTACAGCTGTAGTTTTTCCCCGGCCAGCCTCCCCAAACAACACAATTCTTTTTGGCAACGATCCACGAACTTCAGTCTGGAATATATCGTTGACTGATCCATTTAAGGTTGATATCTGTAAGGGTTTGTCCGGAATATTATTATTGTCTTCCTTGTAGATGCTGACGGTCGTGTAGAGCTTCTCTAGGTCCATGTCATGTTTTGGATCCCACGGCTTAGTGTGAATGTTAAAGAGATGATTTTCGTAGTGTTCCCGTAATGTGTCTTGGCACTCTTCAAGGCTGAAGTTTTCTGCAATGTATTCTGGAATAAATACACACAAACTAATGATAAATATTTCATTTTTAATTGCAACGTCATTGCTATTGTCCTAAGAGCATTTAAAAAAAACGTGTACATGTAACAGTCATACTTTTTAATGGTCGTAGAAATGAAGTAAGTTGTTTTCAACATAATTGTATTCTCTTCAAGAGTTCTTAGCGGTTAGTATGTCTCTATACCAAATAAATTCTTCAGAATCGTTGAAATAAGGGGAGTAATTAGTGTTTTTACTATTTTTAATGTCACGCTACAGGGAATAAACCCTGCATATAGGACTACCTGTTCCGCAGTTGCTGCCTCCATAACCATTTCTGCATGTACAGGAGTACGCCCCGTGATGCTCATGACAAGTGCCTCCATTTTGACAGGGTGACGATGCACATTTCACCAGTTCTGTGAGAAGAAAAAGAAAAGCACGCGAACAAAAAAATATAGCAAAATATTCTTGATTTGGCCAAATTTCTTAACTGAAGGACGTCATTGAACCCGATAGTTGCGCTAGCCTTCTCACAGTGTCTCCGTAATGTGTCTTGACACTCTTTTAAGGTTTAAGGTTTTTGCTATGAATTCTGGAATAAGTATACACAAATAGTCATAAATATTTCATTTTTAAATGCAACTGCATCGGTTTTGTCCAAAGTGTATTTAATTTCTTTCTCAACACGAAACAGTCATATTAATTTGATGTTAATGGTCGTAGAAATGTATTAAGTTATCTTTAACATAACCTCATTCTTTTCATTAGTTCTTACCAGCTGGCATGTCTTTATAGTCTATAATTGTCTTCAGGATGGTTAAAAGGAGGGAAGAGCACGACGGGAATGTAGCATTATTTAGGGTATTTTAAAATATCCCGATGGTATATATATACTAGAGGGAATGAACATAGGCCCACCTGTCACACAGTTGCTGCCTCCATAGCCAGTTCTGCATGTACATGAGTACGCCCCGTGATGCTCAAGACAAGTGCCTCCATTTTGACAGGGTGACGATGCACATTTTCCCGGTTCTGTGAGAAGAAAAACACGCAACATATATGTAGCAAAATATTGCTGAATAGTTCGAATATCTAAACTGACAGACGATTATTAAACCAGTTCTACAACTACAGATGTCCTCGTCGAGCTCATGACAAGTGCCTCCGTTTCGACACGGTGACGATGCACATTTTCGCGGTTCTGTGAGAAAAAAAGAAAAACATGAGAAGAAAAAGAAAAACACGCGAACAAAAAATTTAAACCATAAAGTTGCACTGGCAATGCAGCGAAGCTTTACAGCGCACACTCTCCACTCCACTCGGACGAATTGGGAGCATTTCAGTCATTTCAGTCGCTAGACCAACGCAGGTAGAGTTACACACGTGATCCAATCACAGTGGACTAGTGGGTACCCATTTAACACCTCGGTGGAGAGGAGCATAGATAATTTTTTCCAAGGACGTATGTCTTTTATCGGGCATCGAGCCCATGACAAGACTAAGGCACCTTGATCAATCGCAGAAAGAGGAACTGTAGAGTTATACTGATATCAACTTACCATGGAGTATAATATAACAAGCTACCGCAATAGCCAAGAGAGCTACAACCGAGCTCAGACCTGCAATATAAAAGAAAGAAGTATACATGAATAAATCACATTATACTCAGTAAAAGGAAAACAAATCTAGAAAATTTAGCTTATACAAATATAGATGTGCTGTCAAAATCTTTCTTTGGTGTTATTGAGAGAAGCCGGTTTTTTTTTGTTTTTTTTTTTTTTGGTGGGAGAAGGCAGGTGTTGACAAGTACTTGGAATAAGTGGTATCACCACTTAGGACTAGTTACATTGCACTTTTTTATTTTCATTTTTCAAATTTGCATTCATTTATTTATTCACTTATTTATTTATTTATCTATTTTCAATGATATTGAACACATGTAATTATAGAAAATAAATTTCGGAAGAAAATTTCACCTGCTACATATTTCCAAAATGATTTGTTCCGGGCACTCACACCAGCATTTAAGGGGCGACTTTGAGGCCCAGTGTGCCCCTGTCCCTCTGCAGGTCCAGGCTCTTGTCTACGTCCAGACTGGTTCAGCGCATTATGTTTTTCGATAGCTGCGTATCAAGAATAATTAACATGAGTATCCATTATAAATATGCCTAATTTATCATACATTGATGAATGGCTACAAACCATGAGAGGTAGCTGTATACTGAAATTTATATTCATAAAACATCGAAACAACAATTTGATATGCAAAATTATTTCCATCATCATTTTTATCGCCATCGTCGTAATTATCATCGCCACCGTCAAAGATATATTTAAAATATCATTAGCATTTGCATTACAATTTATTGATATCATACAAATTTCAAAATTATATACAAAGTTGAGCTATAATATTGTAATTTGATTAGAGCATTATATTAATTACCATAAACATTTTAATATAATTTTCAATCACCTCACTACCGAACTGTCATGAAAATGTGTATTGTGTTGATGGCGGAAAAAGTGGTGACTAAAAATTTTCGCCATTACTGGATGACCAAAATTATAAGAGAGAGAGAGAAAGTTTCAGACGCACCTTTTTCAAGAAAGTTGACAAGGAGCATCTTCTTTTTATCTTTGAATATATAGATGAGATATTGAGCAGCTTCCTCCCCCCGACCGTGAGTGGCGACAAACTTGTTTAGAAGATGCTCGTATTTCCCCTGCGGATGCTGTTTGTGAATTGCCAGCTCTGCCGCTACGCTGCCGCTGGCGGAATTGAAGCCCAGGTCGACGGCAAAATGGCTGATTGGATAAAGTGGTATATCAATTTGCTCGGAAAGGGCAATCACAAGGTCATCACTCAGAACTACCTCCTCCATACTAGCTGAACGAGAAAAAAAATGATAAGGAAATATTTGAAAGTTATTACATGTATACATGTAATATATCAATATCACTATACATCTTTTGAAGATGAAAAGAATTCTAAAAAATATTGTTTTGGGGACCCGTCCCCCTAGATGAGTCTGAGTTTTTGTTGTTATTTGGCATTACATAAGGGAGAAGGTTTATTGTCATTTGGTCCCACAACCAGTTCTTCAAGGGGAGAGTAGATAGTCATTTCTGAAAAGGAAATAATGGGATGCACGGGATATGAGCGATTAAGAGGAGCAGTGAAATTAGAGATTGGGACTGAGGTATTCAAAATTATGACAGGTATACGAGAGATACACATAAAATTAGAGGGGGAGATAGAAAGACGAGATTCGAAAGAGAGCAGATGACAGAAAGAGAGAGACAGACAGACAGAGATCATTATGAGATACCATGCACAACTATTACAGAAATGAGTGCATGTATTTTAATTGTGTGGTTTCAACATTCAAATTACATTTATATGAAATAAATAAAAGAAAATATGCCTGTGGTTCCTTTTCCATAGCTGTATTATTGTGTAAATATATAGCTTTGAGCAAAAACACAGTTAGGGAATGTCAAAGGGCCAGAAGGGGATTTCCCCCATCTCATATAGTCTTTCGTCAAGATCCAGCGTTCCTAAAGGTTGCACTAAAATCATTGAAACTATTCTTCTTTGTTCGTTCTCATGTTATCTCTCTACCCCCCTCTCTAGTCTCAACAGCACTTTCTCCCACACTCGTACCCTCAACGCGTTTTCAGTATACAGGCCCTTCTACATTGTGTATATACGATAGCTTTGCTGTAAGCATTTTGAGTGCATAGTATTAAAAAAGTTAACGTCTTCTTCCTCGGTCCCTTTGCTCCCTCGAACAATATGGGCACAATATAACAACCTGTAAACCACAGTACTGTATTGTTAGTATTGTGATTCATTATGAATGCAATACCCAGGAAGAGGCTTGATTGTGTGAAATACAAATTTCAGTAGAGCCTACCCTATACTACAAAAAGTACTGTAACAGCAACAACAACAACAGCAATGAAAATGTCAATAATTTACAATAGTGCCTCACTGAGGGTCGGGTGGTCAAAAGGAATGAGGAAGTATCTCATCAGAAAATCTGTAAAAAGTCCCCCCCCCCCTCCCCTCAGAAATTTAGAAATCGCCCAAAAGTCCCGGCCCCCCCCCCACTCAGTGTTATTTAGGGTACGCATATGCGTGTTCCAACCGACCCCCCCCCCCTTTTCAGCAGAAGTCCGGTGTGTAAAGTCAATACGGCTCGACCTTTTTCTTTTGTATACGAGCCTTTTTCCGCACCCCCCCCCCCCTTTTCAGCAAAAGTCCGGTGTGTAAAGTCAATACGGCTCGACCTTTTTCTTTTGTTACGAAAAGGACATTTTGGCAACACGCATGCGGTCATTTTGAAACCTGAGTGGGGGGGCCGGGCCAAAAGTATCTAAATTAACGATTCATAATGCTGACTAAACCTATTAAGAGGATGGAGAAAGGAACTTAAATTGGTCTGCTTGGTAATATTTTTCTTCCCAACTACAGAATACAAACTTCCTTGCTCGGTCGCAACGCTCCCTCTCAAAAATAAGTGCTATTTATCAAAGTGCGTTGGTAGTATGCAAAGTTTGATCTTCCCCTTTTAGTCGGCATGTTCCCTTTTATTTTGTGTTCCTTGGTTCTTTACACCCCCACCCAAAAGAAAATAGCTAGCATTGCTTGTAATTGTAGCACATTGGAGCTCCCAGCTAAAGACACCCCCCCCCCCCCCATCCACCCCTTTACCACTACCATCAATGCCCTTTAAAAAGGCCACCTCTCCCCCACAGCCCGGCCCACTCGTTTCACACTCGTTTCTTCTCTTTTACTTTTATAACTCATTTCCGTGTTTAAAATCCCACATTTTTCATACTCTATCAAAGCGATACACAATACAATCTCACCCGAGCTAGACGCCAGCTGTTTTTCTAACCTTTGTAATGTCAATTCCAAAAGAACGTTGACAACGTAGAGACTCCTTTGATAATGGAAACTCTGTCGGAAGATGATTAATTCATCAATATCCACTCCTAATTTGTGCTTCAGACGCAATCAAAATGGCGCCGAGTTGCATATCGTTCAACTTCAAACTACTGCGAGTTTGGCAGTGATATGCACGTTCAGTTCCAAATACAACTCACATTATGCACGCACAAAGTGCAAAGGAATGCCAAGCGAGAAGAAAAGAATATGACAATTGATAGGCACCGTTGCACTTTGTAAATAAAATGGCGTGAATGTGAATAACAACAGGCTTCCATTGCGTCCCTGTTTCATAAAAAGGCTTGTCAGTGACAAAGTAGAATATCTGATAATAGTATATGCTACGGAAATCCCTGCCTTTGTCAATTGGCTGTGAAAATTTTTGATACAGCATTATGGCACTTGTAATTGATAACAAGTCCAAAGAAAATAGGGCCCAGAAGAATTAGTCTTAGGGTGTGAATGATCTTGCTTTTAAATGACCTTGTTTAACAAATTGTATGCATACTTTTTTAAACAGAATTTTCTCTTGACGACTGCAAAGCTCGCTAGAGAGTTGCATGACATGAATCGTAAGATCATTACACACACCGAGAAAGAATGACGTGGAAGCACTATACCTACATCCAGATTCACGTATAGATAGAAACAATGACTGAGATGATCTTAAATAGCTAGAATGTGGCGGTTTCAATGTCTCAAAATGTAGTTTGTCCTGCTTTGTGTTTACACTTTGTAGGTTTTTTCCCCTGTGCGTCTTTCGAGTGTCCTTGATGCTGGTGCCCCCTCCCTTTTACAGATGCTCCACAACCCCTCAAAGACATTGATTTCACCTGTGTTTCGATATAACTGGTTTTCTTTATAGAAAATGAATCGACCTACAGTATGTTTGTCAAAATAATGAAATTGATATAATCAGAAACACATGAACACTCTTTTCAAATAAACTTCATGTGACTTTCAAAGAAAAATAAAAAAAAAAACAGTTTTTTAAAACCGTTCTGCTATTTTTAAGATTCTCCTTTCAGAGGGCAATCTACACTAGCTTTTTGGAACCGTACACGGCGTGAAAATATTTAAGTTGCACTTCCATATCCATCAAAAACCACCGTCAAATGAGCTCCATAATGCTTTAGGGTGTATGAAATATATGACCGAACAAATTCAGCATAGGTTGACATTTGTGGCCAAACAACTGATTGCAGTAGACGACCACCATCTTAAACAAAGAGACCATTTCTGGCAGGTTGGATTGCTTGGTGAACGAATTCAGCAGAAGACCCAGAGAACTCTTTGTTGGCTTCCGCATCACCCCACCTTTGAAAGGGAAAGTGCCTGGTGCAAAGAACGATTCCATCTCAGTGTTGTTTTTCAGGACACATGCGCTTCTGTTGAACAATAGCGTTGGGTCGACTTTATATGTGCTTTGTCCCCTGATTTTCACTCTCTTACTCTTGGCACCAATGGTCTTCACCTTGTCCTTACGGTGTACGTAGCTTGATATCTGTAAACTTCCTACCATGCATTCGTTTCGGATTCCGCTACTAGGCCGATTTGTACAGGTTAATCACAATTAACAGATGAACCAGAGACGATGCCAGTTGACAAGGAGACCAAGCAATTAATTAGTTTCATATCCAGCAAATGGTGATGTGCCTGCAGCCATCCAACAAAGATACATCTATCTTCATTGTCTCTTGACCTGGTACTTTGCTGTGTGTCTTTATGCTGCTCTGATGTACCGGTGTAGGAACACAGCGAGGAAGTGCATGAACCCACTTAGCCAATGTACTGTCTGTGATTCCACGTCAACGAGTCATTTCTCTAAATATTTTCAGCTGCCGCATCAGGAACTTTTCAATAGTTTGATCAGAGAAGTTTCCACCACAGAATGAATCAACACGGCGGATGGTGAAGTATCCCTTTTCTGCGAATTGTGTATATTCATTTCCTGGCATGGTTTGCTCTAGAGCTTCCATCTGTTGTAAATAAAACCTGGCAGATTTGACATAGGGAAGATGTCCTGCAGCATGGAAATGTTGTATCATTTCCCTCACACAGCTGAGATGGAGCTTCCAGTCTCCTGTCCTTTCAGCTGGAATGAAACATTGCAGAAGAGACACATAATTGTCGGATATACTGCAACCAAAGTTTCCCTATCCTACTTTGTCCTGCTGCCCGGTCAATGAGTTGTGAATTGATCTGACTTTAACTGTTTGACACACTCCTTCTCAGGTACATCAGTCACCTTCGTGTCCTGGTTGAGGAGTGCACCATACAGATTTGCTAAGTGGTCCTTATCTATGCTGTCTAAGATGCCAGGTTTACCCATCAACATACAAATGAGGGCAACTGAAGTAAGAATGTGAGCACGAAGAGAAGGGGAAAATGCATGACCAGATTGCGTATGACAGACCCTTTGGCGTACACTGTCTCCCATAGCTCTGCAAGCACACTTCCGCCCATGACGTGGCCTATATGCTGCCGAGATAAGACATGAGGAGGTGAAATCCACTAAGACGGTCGATTACTTTTCCTAGGTCTTGAGAAGGAGCTACAATCTCTGCTGCCTTGATGTACGAGAGCTGGTCAAATGTTACTGCATATATTCTTAAGTTATGTTTTTCACATTGTGAATGTGCAAAGTATAGTGCCGTGTAGATGGTACTCGGATTGGAGGGGTCTAAATATATGAAGGGCAGATTTTCAATTCTCGTACTGGTCATTCTGCATTGCCACTTTCATGACACCACTCCATGAAGGACAAAGCTCATGTTGCTCAAGATGTTGATCTGTTCATGTGAGCCACACTTCCGGTGTTTATACACAGCTATTCCAACAATATTGGCAACAGAAATGACCTGGTCTACTAGCAGAGATGATATGGCATGTGCTATTGAGGTGCATTTCCTGTTTGAAACCGTGTGACTTTTGCCTTTGCGACATTGGTACTAATGTGTCTCCATTTTTAGTTCCATCTAACCCGGGCATCTGACGTTGAATAGTCTTCACGGTTGCACATTGTCAGTCTGATGTCGTTAAGGATGATGGAAGCAGCCATATGTGTGCATGTGTGTGTGGGTTGGTGTGTATACTTTATGTATAAGGTAACGCCTATATATGCAAAACGTAATATTTGGGTAACACGGCTCTTGGTATTATAATGAGCTTTATTGCAAGGTACTTTCCATAAACCTTGCTGGTCTGTTGGGGATTGTTCTCTTTCACGATATTCAAGTACTTTGTGGTAACGCCTATTTATGCAAAACATAATATCTGGGTAACACGGCTCTTGGTATTACAATGAGCTTTATTGCAAGGTACTTTCCATAAACTCTTTTGAACGTCCGCTTTCTTTCACGATGTATATTGCAACGCCTTTATACAATGCCATAGTATCTGGGTAACGACGGCTTTTTTTTATATTACAATGAGCTTTATTTCGATAACGCATTCTATGTAAATTCACATATCTTAGTAAATGACTGATACATATTTAAAACTTTTTCTGTAAAGTGAAAACAATTCGAGTATCTGGATAATGGTCCGATATGTTCACCCAGCCAAAACTATTTTTTTTTAAAGCCAGGTGGTGGTGTGATGTTTTGAGAGGGAGGAACGTGTTGGGATCCGGTATGCATGCTTGCCTATCATTATGTCGGGCTGACGTTTGGTGTTCTTTCGAGTTGTCGGGAACGCCCTTTAGGAGTTTTTTTTTTTACGGAGTGCATACAAAACGATCAGGTGTGTGAGCCTATTCATTCATGGGTGAGGCTTATTATGCAAATTATAGAACTTGGTAAATGATAGCATGATGGGTTCGGTTTGCACGAACAGTTTATTAGGTTGCCGAACTGGTGTCGTTTGGGGGAATTTGGTTTATTGGGATCGTGTTTTTATTTTTAATTAGAAGGTGCGTATTGTGATTAGGTACGCGGGCCGGTCAATTCACTGTAATGCATTTTAGGAAAATCATTTAACTTAGTTATGACGAGCGGGTTCCGTAATACAATTCAAGGCATTTGTTAAGGGTTAAAAGCTCTTTGTATTTTTTTTTTTTTAAATTAGATTACGGTTATATAACAATACAACGTATTTCTCATCGACTTGTGCAAGAAGAAATGTTCATTGGTTTATTCTGTCATTGGTCTAGTTAAATTGACAGGGAAAGGGGGAGGCTCTTGCTCTCGGATGTTTACGTACACCGAAGAGCAGATTTGGGTTGTTTTGTGTGGGGGTGTTGTGTGTGTAGTGAATATGCTTGTGTGTATGAATGCGTTGGGTTGTGTGGTACGGGGTGGATTCTGTTTGCATTTTTTATATAATTCGACGATAAGTATGCATGTTTGTTTGGCTGCAGATAGTTTTTTCTATACATTTGCTCACGGTGGAAATAGATTGTGTGGAAGTTTCTTTGGAGTTTATCGATGTAAGGTTTTGGATACAATTACACATAAAATAACATGGCAGTGAAATTATCTTTCATGACATTAAATGTTAGAGGAATAAGAGATAGGTTAAAAAGAGTGAATATTTTTGAATGGTGCAAAACTAAAAAGAATAGTATAATTTTCTTACAAGAAACATATAGTACAGTAGAGATAGAAGAGCGGTGGAAACAAGATTGGGGAGGGCCAATGTTTTTTAGTCATGGGTCAAACCATAGTAGAGGGGTTCTTATTTTATTTTCTAATCATTTAGATTTTGAAGAAAAAAAATTAAAGTAGATGAAGAGGGGAGATACATTATTTTTAAAGGTGAAATACAAAGGGTTAAAATGCTATTGGTTAATGTTTATTTTCCAACGAGAGATAAAGAAACTTTACAAATTGAATTTTTGAAGAAGTTAGATGAAAGTATTTTTGATCAGTGTGATCGGGACTATTTAGTTTTATTAGGAGGTGATTTCAATAGTATATTGGATGGAAAATTAGATTATGTGGGGTCAAAAACACCGATGAAATCTCGGGTTATTGATTGGATTAAGGAATTTTTAAATAAATACGATTTAGAAGATATATGGAGGAAAAAAAATCCGAATGTAAAGCAATTTACTTTTCGACAAAATTGGCCGGTGGTGCAAAGCCGTTTAGATTATTGGTTTATACCTTGTAGTGTTGAAAAATTGGTGGGTACGTGTGAGATTTTGACATCTATTACGCCAGATCATTCTGGCGTTAGGCTAGAATTTAATGATCTTGTTGATATGTTTGTTTTTGGGAAATCATATTGGAAATTTAACAGTAGTTTATGTATGGATAAAGATTTTGTTGAAGAGATGAATAAGGAAATACAGGAATTAAAAGCTGAATGGTCATTACAGATTTTGAATAAATTAGTATTTTGGGATTTTTTAAAGATGAAAATTAGAGAATTTATTATAACATACTCGCGGAAAAAGGCAAAAGCAAGGAGGGTTGAAATAGAACTGTTAGAGAAACAAATCAAGGATTTAGAAGGCGAACTGGTAGTGGGACCCACTAAATATATTGTTGATTGTATTGAGGAGAAAAGGGATAAACTAAATAAATTGTATGATTTTTCTCGACAGGGCATTAAAATAAGATCAAGAGCACCTTGGTTTGAAGATGGAGAAAACAATACGCAATATTTTGAACAGTTGTTAAAATCGAATAAAAGGAAAAGTGTAATTAGGGAGGTGTACAAAGAAAATGGGGAAACTACTAGAGATGAGGAGGAAATTTTAAAGGAAATTAAACTATTTTATAAAGATTTATATTCTTTAAGGGCTGATATAAATCAAAACGACCCTTTCTTTTTTAATGATATTTCAAAGTTAAATGAAGACAATAGGGATATCTGTGAAGGTAAATTAACTAAAGATGAATGCTTGAAAGTTTTAAAAGAAATGAAATTGAATAAAACCCCGGGAAATGATGGGTTAACAGTTGAATTTTATTATACTTTTTGGCCAGCTTTGGGTGATTTGTTAGTAGAAGTATTGAATGAAACATACGAAAGGGGGGAATTAACGGCATCTCAAAAACAAGGGGTAATTACCTTAATTGAGAAGGAAGCGAAAGATACTCTCCATATAAAAAATTATCGACCCATCACGCTTTTGAATGTAGATTATAAAATTGTATCTAAAGTTCTAGCAAAAAGAATGAAAGAGGTTTTAAATGAAATAATTCATCATGATCAAGTTGGATATATAAAAGATAGAAATATTGGGGAAGCTGTACGATTGATAGATGACATGTTATTTTATTCTATGCATTATGGGGAACAAGGGAAAGGGTTTTTGTGTGCAGTGGATTTTGAGAAAGCTTTCGACTCTGTATCTCATAGATATTTATTTCAAATATTGAAATTGTTCGGTTTTGGAGATTCATTTTGCTCTTGGGTAAAATTATTGTATAAAGGGATAAGTAGTTGTGTTATGAACGGTGGTCACTCCACGGGGTATTTTGAAATAGAAAGGGGAGTAAGGCAAGGGGATCCATTATCGCCATATTTGTTTTTGGTTGCCATCGAAATTTTGGCGCATGCAGTAAGGAG